CATCTCACGGCGCTTCAGGTCCCCCCAGGAGAGGAGCACAAGCCTTCGCCGCGTTTCCCTAACGAAGAACTCAGATTTATTACCCAAATGACGACCGGCTTTGACCCCGCTCGGGTCCCAACCCCCTCTGCCATTTTAAAACCCTGCGCTAATATCCCCAAACAGAGTTAACTACCTTAGTAATTAATCTCTTTATTATTGCTCGGCGGATTAAGGTCTGAAGAGCAGTAACGAGGGTATTTTCCAACCTCCCGCGTAACTCGATGTGTTTCATCCGATAGCTTTCTACTAATTTTTGCCCACAGCTCCTGGCAGAGCGGCTGGGGGCTTCACCGGGACCTGCTCCAGCGATGGCGCGGGCACTGGCGGGCACTGGAAACACAAACCGCGGCCGCTCAGCCGACGAGGCACTGGCAGAAAGCTTGGAAAATTCAGGAAAAAAAACCAAACAAACCCCAGAAAGGGTCACGGATAAAGTTTAAAATGCAAACGACGCTCCTTCCTGCAAAAGACAACGGCCTCGTGCCGCTCTCCTTTTCCCGGTCACCAAAAGCACCGTTTCCGTGTGTTTTGCCCTTAACTACGAGCTCTTCGGGGGCTCTTTTTGCTCCGGCTCTCTGCAAGGAGCCCCCCCCCCCTGGGGGTGCCGCAACTCAGGCAGCAACAAATCTGGATCCCCCGGAAAGGATCCCCAAATCCCCCGGGATTTACCTTTCCCGAAAGGCACTTAATCCCCCGGGGGACCGGGATGACACAGAGGCCTCGCTGCCTGCGAGGAAACGTGGCACCGAGCAGGGACCGACCATTAAATCCTATTAAAGCCCGGCGTTTCCGGGCTCCTAACTGCTCGGCAGGTTTTGCTTCGCCCGCTCCTCCGTCCGCGTCCACCCCCGGGACGACGCGACGGCCAAAGCAAACAGGTCGTTATTTATTAACAGGCGGCATTAGCTGCCGGCTGCAGTCGGCTCGTTTTCCTCGGCCTCCGTGCCACGGAAGAGAAAAGCTGATTTTTCCACAGCTAAACTTCGCTTCGTTTCGCTCCCTGCGCTCGCTTCGAGCCCGGGTCCCGGGAGGGAGGGCGTAAGGAAAAGGAGGCGAAAGCCGACGTAGGCAGCAGGGACGTCCCTGTCCTGGCGCTGCTCGGGGAGTACG